AGATTTGTTGTTCAGCTACTTTCTCCCAGGAAATGGAATATTTTGATCAAATGTTTCACTGAAGCATTTATTTTATTTTTCCCCTCATGTCAGCATCTTCTTTATCCTTTCTTCATCCTGATTGCCTTAAAAAATACACTGGAGACAGGGGGAAAAAAATCACTGTATAAAAGGTAATTAGCACATCCTCTCCTTTTTATAACTTTATAATTGAAATCTCATTAAAAGCTTTCTAGGTCTCTTTTTCCCTTAGTGGCCAGGTGCCCCTAATTTATTTTCAACCAATGTGACTAATTGCAGGCAATGACTAGAAAAGTCTGATACCTGTTGGAGAACAGCAAGGTTAAATAAGTGGGGTGGCTTTTTTAGGTTGCTTTTAACCTCGTAAAAAAAAAAAAAAAAAGCTTCAACATCTTTTACAGTCCGGCCTTTTTCTCAGACCCGGTTGAAGATTCCAAGGGAAATGAGAGCACTATTTTGTTTCTCCCTTGTATTGCAGATAGGGGGAGGAGGTGGTTATTAGAGAGAAGCTCTTCCTCTCTCGGTTTTCCCCTCTCTCCGCCTGACAGCACCGCTCTCTCGCGGGCTCGCTCCTTCTCCTAGGTGATCCATTTCTAGGCAACGTGGGGCTGGTGCTGAAGCTGCCAAGCTCGCTCCTTGCTCGCTTTCTGCATTCCGCCAGGCGAACCGCTCCAAAAGCATCTTGCAGCCCGCGGCGGCTTTCCTCTAACGGCCGGGCCCCGCTGCTCCCGCCCGGCGCAACTGCCCCACCACCGCGCCTGAGCTAACCGGTTCCCCGGGCCAGCCTCGCCAAGCTCCGCTCCCCGCCTCGCGCAGAAAGGGAATTTTCTCTGCATTACTATCTGCATTACCTTGAAGTTCACTTTTCTACCCCTCTCCGTGAGGGCATTTTTCCTTCCCTGCTGGAATCTGGCTGTTCCGCTTGGAATTTCCTAAGCTTCCCATTCCACTTAGATTTTATTTTGGCACAGAAGACAAGTGATTCTCTGCGGGCCATTGGGGCCGGGGCGGGGGGGGTGCCTTTTGGCAGAGGGAGGGGGCGGGGCGGGGGACATCCGGCTTGAGGCGGGGGGTGTTCTGTTGCAAGTTGCAGCGGAGCTGGGACCCGAGACCCGCGGCCCGGGAGCAACTATGGGGATGGTTTGAGCTCCAGCCTCTCACCCCTGCCCGACAGCAACCGAGGCTGGATACATTTTTGAAAAGCCAAACTGCAAACAACTCTGGCGATGCCAAAATTCCCCTCCAAGTGACAAGGCTTTGCTAAGGAAGCGTCCTCAGTCTGGGCTTTCTCTGATTCCCTTAGCTTTCTTCAACGACGATTAAAGCCTTTTTCCCCCCCCTCCTGGCAACAGGAATTTATGAAAAAGAAAAAGCTGCGCTAAACTCTATTGTGACCTCAAACTCTTTGGACTGTTTGTTGTTGTTTTTTAAATACTGGAAGAAAATCCATTCTTAAAAGGAATCCGTATAGGAGGAGATGGAAGTTTTCCCCTTGCTCTTGGTTTTGTCCGTCTTGTGGTCTCGAACCTGGGAATCGGCGAATGCGGATTCGATCATTCACATCGGTAAGAAAGGTCTTGTGTTGCTCGGGAATACTTGAATGTTTCGGTTGCAAGTGTTCCCCTTTGCTTCCCTTCCTCCGCCCTCTGTGTAGCTTGTTGGAGGTGGCTTCTATTCACTGCCCCTTCCCTCACACTTGTTCGGTTTTCTGGAAGAATGTGGATACTCGAACCGTGACTTGTACTGTTGTTTCCCAGTGAACGTTAGAGCATGGGCTGCATTCGTGGGGGTCTCGAGTTTGCCTTACTGTGCATGAGTGCTAGCGAGTGGGGATTGAACGATAAGTGAGTGGGGGAAAGGAAGTTTAATTGACTCTACCTTCCATATTCTTGCCCGGATGTACATTTGCTCCATGAAAAAAAAAAAAAAAAAA